TATTCTATTCTATTCTATTCTATTCTATTCTATTCTATTCTATTCTATTCTATTCTATTCTATTCTATTCTATTCTATTCTATTCTGATACTGACAAAGGAGAATATTTGTAGTTCAGGATTGGCATGTGGCGTCCTTGGTGCTCTCTGAGCTTGGTGGGTTTTTTTGCAAATGATTCATGACCAAACTAGATTATCAGTGCTAGTAGGAAGTGAGTTTTGTATTATTTGCATCTTGATTGTGGGTCTAATGTTAATCTTAGGGTTAATCTTTGCTCCTCTGTGTGTTGATCATTGGTGGGGAGGTTATTTTGGAATGTTGTTTCCTTTCTAACAATCAAGAAGCAAAGAAGGCAAGGAACTACCAACTCAGACAAATAAACTAACAGTATACAATAGTAAGGAATCACCCAGACCATTCCCAGCAACACTGACAGGGAAAGCCAGTGGTATATAAAATGAGAGCAAACCCCACTCCCTTCTAGCACTGATGATGTTATCTAGTTGGGTCGTGAAACATCTGCAAGAAAACAATCAAGCTCAGAGAGCACCAAGGACTCTGCAAATTTAATAATTCACATCGTCTCTTAATGAAGTTATAATGTATGAGATGTTATTTGTACCCCCTGCAAATGCCTGTGATGACCCAGAGTGTAACACAAACGTAACAAAATCCAAAACATAAATAAATGTCCTTTAATGCCTCCAACTTGGCCCCACATAATTCTCAGTTGGAGATAAAATGTATTCAAAAATAGTCTTCAAAAGAAAGCAACAGTCCGAACTTAATGAGCAGATAAAGGTGAAATAAAAACTAAAACAAACTACAATGAAGGAATTTCCACAACGGACCAAGATAAGTAATTACCAACTTCAGGGAGATAACAAGGCACAATCTGTTAGAAGGACACCAACCAAGATAACTTCAGCCCAAAATAAAAGACACTTTGCTTCTGGCAATGCTGTGTTTTAACTGTCTCTCTTATATACTATTCTCCCCAGCTGCAACCAATGAGGGGGATCATGGCCGCTTCCTCTCTCGTAAGCCAAGTTGTTGCCTTCTCCATTCCTCCTTGCGTGTCCTAGGATGAAGAGGGGATGGGCCTGGTTCTTCCTCTGACTGCCCAGCCGGCCTGTGCCCTTCCCCAGCCTCCTCCACATCCTCCAGAGCCACACCTCCACTCCCTGTAGGCTGTTCTTCCTCTCCCTCAGAATCCAACTCTACCAAGGGCATGACAATGCCCATGTAACAATCAATTCTAATTTTTGATTACCTGCTTGGAATAAGCAGTTGATCTTCCCCTAACGGCAAAGCAATTTGGAATTTCTCTAGAAGCTTGAAGTATTGGCACTTGCAAATCTCAGGGAATTTACTGTTCTTTAGCAGGGATTTTTCAACATCAGAACGCTTTATGATCCCTTTGGGGTATTTGGTAAAGCCATCCACCTTCACCGTCAAGATCTACGGAAGAGAAATCCATCTCACAAACCTCACTCCGATTGGCTTAGTTTTAAAAATCATGTCATACGTCGAGCTTTCCGCTTCGTTTTCAAATACAAAAGAAGAAGAATATTCTTCATTGGCCAAGTGTGATTGGACACCCAAGGAATTTGTCTCCGGTGCAAAAGCTCTCAGTGTACATGCAAGTAACAAAGTGATAGATCACAAATCATAAAAAGGGATAAATCATAAATCATAAGGTACAATCGTAACGCCTCACACACAAAACTGTTACACACAAAGCAGTATTATTTCTCTCCTATCAAGAATGTAAATGAATTATAGTAATAGATAAAAATATACATATTGTTATTAGAATGTATAGCCTGTTAAATGACTATAAGATGGAAAATATAACCTATGTACTATAATGAGATTAGAGAGGGACTTGTGTGAAAAATATAACAGTGGCACAACTAATATTAAAAGGGGATAAATATTGGATAATACAACCTAAGATGAATATATGAATACCTGAATGATGTAATTTGTTAAACTCCACAAATATGACTATTAAAAGAATATATATAATACAAAAATGATATTAAAAATATAGAGAATGATACTAAGTAATATATGAGAATATTGAATAAACAAAAGCTGATACATGTAATATTAAATTAATATTAATATTAAATTAGATAAAAAATGGTAATATTAAAGTTAGGGTCATGTTTATTATTAAAATGTTAAATGACCTGAAACAACACTGTTCACCTAATGATGTATGTAAAGAAATAAAAGTAAAAATGTATTTTTTAAAAAAATGTGAATGAAGAGCTACTGAAAAGTTTCTCAAACCTGTATTCATATTATTTTTATACCTTTATACAATATCCTTATTATTGTTTTCCCTGTTAACTGTTTTGTGACAGTCATTAGATGACAAGCTAACAACTTGTAAACAGATTTAGTAATTGTTTAGAATTCTTCTGGCCTGTTTTATAAGGCGTAGGAAATTAATATTGTCATATTATATTCATCAGCATTCAGTTAGGGAGGCTGTCATGTGTCTTCTTTTCCTAAGACATTTTTTTAAAATGTCTTTTTATTTTTTCATTGTTTTTTTAAATATAGTCCTCGATTTATCATCACAATTCAGCCTAAAATTTCCATTGTTAAGGGAGACATTTAGTAAGTGAGTTTTGCCCCCATTTTACTTTTTTGCCTCCATTGTTAAGTGAATCACTCCAGCTGACAAGTTAGTAACCCAGTTGTTCAATGAATCCGGCTTCCCCCGTGGACTTTGCTTTCTCAGGTCACAAAAGGGGATCACATGACCTCAAGACACGGCGACTGTCATCAACATGAGCCAGTTGCCGAGCATCTGAATTTTGATCACGTGACTGTGGGGAATGCTGCAATGGTCATGAAAAAGTGTGAAAGACGGTCGTAAAGTCACTTTTTTTCAGGACCGTCGTAACTCTGAATGGCCACTCAATGAACTGTCTGTAATTTTGGGGTGTTTTGCATTTTAACTTTCCCCAAATAAACTAAATATCGTACAGAAAAAAAATTCTCAGACCTGGAAGATAAGAGAAAAACAATGTGTTGTGATCTGCCAGCAGACGGCAGCAGTCGGACAGTGGGGAGGGACATGGGCCAGTCCGGGAGTCTGGGGAAGACTCGGACGAGGGTCCTGCATCCAATACAGAGATGGAGCCAGGGCCATCTGGGAGTATCTGGCAGCAGCGAGGAAGAGGAGCAAGGGGAGCCTGTTCCCAGTATGTGTTGCACAGAGCTGCCAGAAGGCAAGAGCAGTTAAGATAAAAGGGCGACTTGGGAGTAAGGCTTGAAGGTGATTGGCCCCTCCCATAAGGCATAAAGAAGGAGCAAAGGGACAGGAGCCTTTGCAGGAAGCAACGTTGTTCGCTCTGTTCGGATTAACCTTGAAGCTCTGTCTGGACTTTGTACTTTGGTTGGTTTTTACAGTTAATTTGGCACTTTAGTTGGCAGCAATTAAAAGGAGATAAAGGTGGGTGCTTATCTCGAGGGACTGTTTGGGACTCATAACGGGCTGGGAATGCACATAATTCCCAGCTTTTGAAATAAAAAGAGGGTTGTTTGGACTAAGCATGTGCTTAATTATGGTCTCAGGAAACATAACCTAGCCAAGGCAGGGAACACAAGGTGGGAGAGATGACAATGGAGACACCGCCAAGGCGCTTTCCCAAAAGACAACTGAGACTGACCTGGGCTATGATTTTACACAGCCATTTGGGATCGACAAAATAGAGATTTCTGAGCTGAAGGGCCGGATCTTGGAAGTGCAGCAGGACACCTAAATAAAAAAAAATAGTCCTTTTTAGTATGTATCAGTGTGTACGGAGCATTTTAACAATAGTACGGTTTATTGCAGGTGGTAGTCCTCAACTTACGACCACAATAGAGCCCAACATTTCTGCTGCCAAGTGAGACATTTGTTAAGTGAGCTTTGCCCCATTTTATGACCTTCCTTTCCCTCGGTTGTTAAGCGAATCACCGCAGTTGTTAAATTAGACACACAGTTCTTCAGTGAATCTGGCTTCCCCACTGATGTTGCTCGTCAGAAGGTAGCAAAAGGGGATCACACAACCCCGGTTCACTGCAACCGTCATCAATATGACCATGGGGGGAACGCTGCAACCATTGTTAAGTGTGAAAAACAGTCATAAGTCACTTTTTTCAGTGCTGTTGTAACTTTAAATGGTCACTAAATGAACTGTTGCAAGTCGAGGACTGGCTGAACTTTAAAATTCACTATCCTTTGTTCAGTGGAGGAGTCCATCCCTCTCTCAGCCCAACCCTCCTCACAGTGTGGTTGTTGCTGGGAAAATGGGAGGAGAAGAACTAGAATAGAATAGGATAGGGTAAGATAGGATAGAATAGAATTAAAGAAGAGAAGAGAATTACAGTAGAGAAGAGGAGAGAATAGAGAATAGAAAATAATAGAAAAGAAAAAAAAGAAAAAAGGATAGAAAAAAAGAAAAGGAAAGGAAAGAATAAGTATAGAATTGAGAACAGAATAGAACAGAAATAGAACAGAATAGAATAAACATAGAATAGAATAGAATAGAATAGAATAGAATAGAATAGACATAGAATAAACATAGAATAGAATAGAATAAACATAGAATAGAGTAGAGTAGAGTAGAGTAGAGTAGAGTAGAGTAGAGTAGAGTAGAGTAGAGTAGAGTAGAGTAGAATAGAATAGAAGGTGGAAGGGACCTTGAAGGTCTTCTACTCCAACCCCCTGCCCAAGCAGGAGACCTTATACCATTTCTGACAGAGGGCATCCCAGTCTCTTCTTGAAAGCCTCCAGTGATGAAGCTCCCACAACTTCTGAAGGCACCTTCTGTTCCATTGGTTGATTGTTCTCACTGTCAGGAAGTTTCTCCTTATTTCCAGGTTGAATCTCTCCTTGTTCAGTTCCCATCCATTATTCCTTGTCTGGCCTTTGGGTGCCTTGGAAAATAGCTTGACCCCCTCCTCCTCTCTGGGGCAGCCCCTCAAATATTGAAAGGCTGCTATCATGTCTCCCCTGGTTCTTCTCTTCCCTAGACTAGCCAGGCCCAGTTCCTGCAACTGTTCATTGTATATTTTACCCTCCAGTCCCCTCATCATCCTGGTTGCTCTTCTCTGCACTCTTTCTAGAGTCTCAACGTCTTTTTTATAGTGTGGTGACCAAAACAGGATGCAGACTATTGGGTTTGTTGGCCTCCTTCAGTAACTTATCAAGTAATAAAAGCAAGACAACAATCAAATAAATAAGCAAACTGCCCAACTTAGTGCAACTTTTTTTTGTTAAATGAAAAATGGGATGGCAGACCCACTGACTATCACAATCCAACGGCCATATATTTTTACCCGATTCGTTCAGAAAATGCACTGCATGAGAAAGTTCGTTTTCATCCAATTGCAGCTGCTTTTCTTGCACCAATTCATAAAGCTGATCCTGGCCAATCACGGGGAATTCAGCCGGCAATGTTTTGCGTATTTCAAGAATGCTCTTCTCAAGTTCTAAGTAGCTGTCTGGAATTAACTGGCCAATCACAGGCTGGTCTCTGATCTGCAGGAAATAAATGAATGAATGGATGGATGGATGGATGGATGGATGTGCACCTCTATAACTGTCTGGTTTGGTTCTGCAACCCAAGAAGACAGACACAGACTTCAGAGGGTAATTAGGGCTGCAGAAAAAACAATGGCTACCAACCTGCCTTTCACTGAGGACCTATATACTGCACCCCGAGTTAAAAAGAGGGCTGTGAAAATATTTAGACCCCTCATATCCTGGATATAAACTGTTTCAACTCCTACCCTCAAAACGACACGAAAGAGCACTGCACACCAGAACAACTAGACACAAGGACAGTTTTTCCTGAACGCCATCACTCTGCTAAACAAATAATTCCTTCAACACCGTCCAACTATTTACGAAGTCTGCACTACTATTACTATTAATCTTCTCATCACTCCTTATCCCCCATCCCCTCCCACTTGTGAATGTATGACTGTAACTTTGTTGCTTGTATCCTTATGATTTATATTGACTGTTTCCTAGTATGATTTGGTTGCTTATTGTAGCCTATGACTATTAAGTGTTGTACCTGATGATTCTTGACTCTTGACGAATGTATCTTTTCTTTTTATGTACACTGAGAGCCTTTGCACCAGAGACAAATTCCTTGTGTGTCCAATCACACTTGGCCAATAAAGAATTCAATTCTATTCTATATTCCAATATTTATTCTATTCTATTCTATTCTATTCTATTCTATTCTATTCTATTCTATTCTATTCTATTCTATTCCTATTCCTATTCCTATTCCTATTCCTATTCCTATTCCTATTCTATTTCTATTCTATGAATGTTGCTCAACTATTTCGATGAATACCTTAGGGATAAATTGTACTTTCCTATCGTCAATAATTTCTCATGAAACATGGATTGCAGTTTGGGCTGCTCTCGAACTTGGAATAACAAGGTTGGAAGGGACCTTGGAGGTCTTCTAGTCCACCCCACCCCACCCTGCTCAAGCGTGAGAACCTCTATACTATCCCGGACAAATGGTTGTCCAAACTCTTCTTGAAAATCCTCTGCCTTCCTGAATATTGAAAAGACTGAGCCATTGAGAAGGACCAGGCATTTGAAGTAAGCCATAAGGTGGCTTGTTTCATTGTGGTTTAGAGTGCCATGCAAATCCAGCTATTGTGTTTTGTAAACTATGATTCTTGGCTTTACAATCTGGTGTGAATCTGGTTGACTGTACCTTAGTCGATAAGCAATTGCTAGATAAGTCATACCTTCGGCAGTGATAACAGAAAAACAAGAGTTGGAAGGACCTTAGAGATCTAGTCCAACCCATCACATTTAACATTAAGCAGTAATTTCCCCGACTGCTAATCAAGCAAGATTGGATGCAAATATGCATGAGACATGCAGCTTTAGCAGAACGTATCAATCATTTAATTATGGTTGGCGCAGTGGTTAGAATGCAATATTGCAGGCCGACTCTGCCCATTGCCAGCAGTTTGATTCTGATCGGCTCAAGGTTGACTCATTTTTACATCCTTTCAAGGTTGGTAAAATGAGGACTCAGATTGTTGGGGGCATTATGCTGACTCAGTAAAGCACTTAGAGAGGGCTGTAAAATGGTATATAAGTCTAAGTGCTATTGCTACTCCTTCTCCCCTTCCTTCCTTCCTTCCTTCCTTCCTTCCTTCCTCCCTCCCTCCCTCCCTCCCTCCCTCCCTTCCTTTCTTCCTTCCTCTCTTATTCCCTTTCTCATTCTCCTTCCTCGTGGCCCAGTGGTTAGAATGCAGTACTACAGGCTGACTGTGCCCACTGCCAGCAGTTCGATCCTGAGCGGCTCTAAAGGTTGACTCAGCCTTCCGTCCTTCCAAGGTTGGTAAAATGAGGACCCAGATAGTGGAGGGCCACTCTATAAACTGCTTAGAGGGTGCTGTAAAGCGGAATATGTCTAAG